GCCCAGCCCCCTGCAGCTCTGAGGAGGGCACTTCTCTGGCGTCTTTCTGCCACTTCTTTCTGGGAGAGCTTTCAGCCTCAGCTCCTGCAGCACTGCCTGGAGATGATTTCCTGAGCCCCTGGCTCCTGAGCCTCAAGCGTGTCACCTCCTTGTGCTGGTGATCTGTTCAGCACCAGGTCCACAGAGCTGGCCCATCCCTGCTTTGCACATCAGACCTTCCTGCAAACAAAACCTCTGTAAGGTTTCAAGCAGAGGAACTCGCCATGGCAGCTGGCATGGCCGAATTTGCTCCTTTGAGCAGTTTTTCAGACCGGCTGCATACAGAGGCTCAGGGGTGAGTGCTGCTCACACGGTGCAGGCATTTCCAACGTTTCTCCCTAGCCATCCACTAACACCACATAAATGGGAGCTGCCTCTTCCCCTCTCCTCCCAGGAAGGGTTTTCCCTCCCCTGCAGCCAGGCCTTGCTCCCAGCTGCGGTGAGGTGCTTCCCCCTGCTGCATCTCCTGCAGCTGCTGCTCTCGGCTGCTGCTGCCCCAACACCTCTGAGCCACCACCGCTCTGCCTGCAGCTCGGCTGGCAGAGCTTTGTGCTTCACACAACCCTGTAACCAGCCACGGTGGTCTCTGTCCTGCCAGCACCTCGTCTACCTCCAGCACTCACCAGGGACAGCTAGGTCGGGGATGCTGTTCCTGTTGCACAGCTCTCCGTTTGGCCCCACGCCTTCCCTCTGCCCCAAGCTGTCTCTGCTCTGTGTTGCTGCAGGGCTTTGGCAAGGTGGGGCTGCACACCATGAAGTACCTGCACCAGTTTGGAGCCCGCTGCATCTGCGTTGGGGAGACAGACGGGGCCATTTACAATCCCAGTGGGATCAACCCCAAGGAGCTGGAAGACTACGAGAGAGTGAGTTGAGCTTGTTCTGAATGGGTGGTTCAGAACATGAAGGGGGCTTCATCCATGAAGCAGGGGCTGCCCCGCGTCCCCTGCAGAGCCCAGCTCGGCTCTCCTTCTTGCTCCAGGGCCACGGCACCATAGTTGGCTTCCCGAAAGCAGAGCCCTATGAGGGCAGCATCCTGGAGGTGCCCTGCGACATCCTCATCCCTGCTGCTATTGAGAAACAGCTCACGAGGGAGAACGCGCCCCGGGTGCAAGCCAAGGTACGGAGAGCCCGCTGTAGCGTCAGTTTGGGCACTCAGCACCCCAGGGAGGTGTCACGTCACCTCGCTGACAACGTGCCCTCTGTGCCAGAGGGACAGGGAGTGAGGCAGAGGTAGCAGGTCACGTAATGTAGGGGAAGAGGGAAGCCTAAGCCCTTCCCTTTGCTGGCAGGAGCAAGGAGTGTTGAGTGACCTTGGCTGGCTCTGCTGGCATCCTCAGCATTCACTGCTTTACCACATCCTCCCCCAGGGCAGAGGAGATGAGATCCTTGAAGGTGCTGGGTGTTACAGTGTGGGCACTGGAAATCAGAGGCAGCAGATAAGAGTGAGCAAAGCAGGGAACTGCTCCAGAAAGCAGCTTCCAGCCTCCACTGTGAGCTTCAGGTCCAAAGGGACAAGGCATGCTGGCACCGGGGACTTTGTCACGGCCAAGGCCTTTTGCAGCCTGAACCTTTAATCATCTCTTGCAAAACATGAGGTCTGAGCATCTGCGGGCCCTGAACAGCCTCGGCGGGGAGGCGAGCACTCAAAACTCTGCCACTAGAAGTGACCTGGTGGGGGGGATAACAGCAGCCCAGGCCTGGTTTCTCCTTTCATTTCTCCTGTCCCATGTCACCTCTGCTCTGCTTGTGCTTTCAGATCATCGTTGAAGCTGCCAACGGCCCCACTACACCCGCAGCACACGACATATTCCTGCAAAGAAACATCCTGGTCATCCCGGTACGTCCGTCCCCAGCACGCGGGGAGGTGGCAGGTTCATGGTGGTGTCGGCTGCACTGATGTGGATCCAGCCTGGCTCTGCCAGGCTCCGAGATCAGACAGCATTCATGGTGCTGCCGCAGTTGTTTCCTGCCTCACTCCAGCTGCCGAGCAAATCCGGGGAGCTCAGCTTGCTGCTTTCCCTTCTGTGCCCTCCCGGTTCTTGGCTGCAAGCGGTGGCAGACCCCGGGGCTCCTGGCCGTCACCAGCAGGTCCCGCAGTCATGTTTGGCCAGCAGCAAACTGCCACATCGCAGCTGGTGTCTCTGGTCAGAGACTCTGCAGCCCTAGGACTCAGCCAGCCCGGTAACCTCAGGGTGTCCCTGAGGGCAGGAGTGGGGAGGGGCTGAATGCAGAGGGGGGAGGACCCCCCCAGATCAATCCTGGGTCTCGGGGTCACTCGAGGCAGCAGACGACGAGCATGTGCTGCCCTCGGCAGGACGTGTACGTGAACGCCGGTGGCGTGACCGTGTCCTTCTTCGAGTGGCTGAAGAACCTGAACCACGTCAGCTACGGCCGCCTCAGCTTCCAGTACGAGTGGGAGTCGAGCCACCACCTGCTGCAGTCGGTGCAGCACAGCCTGGAGCGCTGCTTCGGCAAGGCCCGAGGGGAGATCCCCATCCTCCCGTCCCCTGAGCTCCAGGCCCGCGTGTCCGTAAGTGCCTGCAGCCAGGGGTGGCTGTCCTGGCCGCTGGTTGCACAATCCCAGTCACCCCTGTCTGGTGCCCCCAGCAGGGTGTGGGATGTGGGGTGTGCGTGGTGCTGGGCTGCTGTCGGTGGGCAGTTGCCTTCCCTTGGTGTGGGGACAGCTGGGACAAGGCACTGGGTGTCCTGGGTGCCCCCCACGCAGAGCCCCCCCGGGCCAGCTGAGGGTGCTGACCCGTGGTGCTCTGTGGGGCTGCGTTGGATAAATCAGCCCAGCCTCCCCCCCCAAAAAAAAGATTAATTTGCTGTCCCCCTCAGGGTGCCTCAGAGCGGGACATCGTGTACGCGGGACTGGCCTACACCATGGAGCAGTCAGCCAAGGTACCTCGCGGGGCTCCTGGCCTTACCCCAGCCCTCGTTGCGGGGGCTCTGCCTGCAGGGTGCCCACCCTCAGCACCACTCGAGGCCTGGGTTCCCCTTCCCCTGCTGGCTGTGGCCGCAGCTCGGGTAAAGCCTCTTGCTCAGCAGTCCCCCGCTGCTCCTGCCACAGAGGGAGCACCTCCTGGGTCCCTGTCCTTCTCCCTGTCCCCCTGAACCTTCGGGTCCCATTCCCAGGATTGTTTAAATGATCCCCGACACGCAGCCTGGTGCTGGCAGCGCTGGGGGAGGCCTCGTGCCACCCCTGGGGGCAGCAGCCCTGTGCCATGCTCAGCAGTGGGCACCCAGGGGTGGCCTCGTGCCCTTTGGGTGCTGCTGTGGCTGTGGTTTAGTCCTTGCACACACTGCGTGCCCCCTCCTCCCTGCCTCCCCCTTGCCCCCAGACCTTTCCAGCACACGGCGGCCTCACAGCTCCTCTCTCCTCAGCAAATCATGAACGTGGCTGCGAGGTACAACCTGGGCCTGGACCAGCGAACCGCTGCCTACCTGTGCGCGCTGGAGAAGGTGCTCACCGTGTACAACGAGGCCGGCTTCACCTACTGACAGCACCCACCAGGCTGCAAGGGACAAGGACGGGCTGCCACGCGGGGAGGGACACAGGTCTGCTGCGCAGAGGTGCCCTGATACTGCCTGGGGAAGCCCTGGTCTCTATAAATGGTTTATTTCGGAGGTTTATGCTCTCTCCCTTGTGCCTGGCTCTCAGCTCTCCTGGGCAGTGTGGGCTGGATTCATCCCTCCACACCCGCTCTGCCCCAGCCCCTTTGCAGCCCCCTGGTCAGAGCAGGATGTCTGGCTGTGCCCCGGCTGCACCCGTGCCACGCTGCTCTCCTGGGAGCGCTCTGCCGCATGCTGCAGGACTTCTTGGCCAGCTAGGGGAGCTCTTCCGAAAAGCTGAGCTAAACCAAGTTGTCCTCCTTCTGCCAGGGGCTGAACCCCTGCAGCGCTGCTGCCCGGGGACCCACTGCAGCACAGCTGGTCCTGCAGCAGTCCCAGCCTGGCTCTGGGGGCACGGCACAGGGGGTCCCACGCCCCCCTGCAGCCTGTCTCACCTTCAGCTGCTGCACGTATCCGCCTCCCTCCCCAAAACTGTGCTCCTAGGCGGGTGGGAGCAGCGCCAGCCCCGCTCCCCCCGGGAAGAGCCCCAGCTCAGGCTGTTTACCAGCGTGCCCAGCAGTGCATGGGGAGCGCTGCAGGCACTGCTGCAACTGGTGCAGACACGGGGATCGGAGCCAGGGCCGGGATCTGCAGGCGTCAGCAGACCTGTTGTGTGCCTGTGCTGACTGCTGCAGCTTCGCTCCTCACCGGCAAAGCTGGCGAGCCAGCATGGGTGAGGAATTTAATACGATATGCGCAGGGGCAGGCTGAGCCTCTCCCCACTGCCTCTGCTGCAGCCGAGGGGCTGCAGGCTGGCTGGGGGCACAGTTTGGGCTGGAGGTTCCACCCTGTGGGAGCTGGAGGCCCAAAGATTGCCCTCTGGGGTGGGCGCAGAGGAGAAGTCCCCCTTTGCTCCATGCTCCTAGCACAAGGATCGGGGTGCGTGTCCAGGAGGCACCTTACTGCACGTCCTGCTGCTCTGGGGAGGCGTCAGCCTGCAGGAAGCCTGTGCCCAGCACCTGAACCCCCTTTGCTCACACAGCCTGTGCCTGCTGGCAGTGCCAGTGGCCAGACCTGGAAGGGAACCAGTGCTCGAGGCCAGGCCCACATCCATCCTCCTCCTGGCTTAGGGTCCTCAACCCCAAAGGTCCCCTGCATTCGCCAAGCACTGCAGCCAGCAGCAGGACGGGTGGCACAGGGATGCTGCCAGCACCCCAGGCTCAGCCAGAGCATGCTGCCCGCTGCCGAAGCAGCAGCAAGCACACACGGAAGAGTTTTGTCTTCATGAGGACCTGCTCCCACAGCCTGCCCCAGCCCCTCAAATCCTCTCCCTCAAACCCGCCAGCCCTGCCACCAAAGGGTGGGGGCAGCCGCTCTCCCCGGGGACCCCACAACCAGGACCAGGGGGCTACAGACAAGAGTTGGCTTTATTCACGGACACGGGGGCAGCTGTGTCACTGGCAGCTGCCCTCGTATTGCACATCCAGCGACGGGGGCGAGGGGATATCCATGCCACGTCACAACACAGCGTCGGCACTACGGGACCTCGGGGGCAGAGGGAGGGGGGGCGCGGGCACCGTCACCACCCAGCAGGCTGGGGAGCGGGCTGGGGCACCCAGGGCTCACAAAGGCAAAAGACCCGTCCACCCATAGATAGAGATATATATATAAAAAAAAAATAGTTCCACGACGACCAGAGCAGAACCACGGGGACACGCGTGCAAGCGGAATGTACAGCAGCCCGCGAGCAGGTCAACATGCTTTGTACAGACACAGACACGCCGGGAGCAGCCGGGTTTATGGCGCTGGGAGGGACACAGGGCGATAAACCCGGGCTCGGCGGGCACACACGCACGCACACACGCACGCACACCGGCCCCTGCGGGCAGCACCCACGGCTCGGGCACGCGCCGGGGCTCCGGGGCTTGGACACAGCGGGTTTCTCACTGCTAGACACGGTACGGAGACACGGACACGGTCCCTTGGAACGGAACTGGAGGAAGAACTTGTGAGCGAACGGGGCAGGGGCACCCCTGCTCCTCCCCGGCACGCGGGCACCGGCCAGGGCTGGCTGGGGAGGAGCAGGGGGCTACCGGCGGTTCGTTGTGCTGCTGGTGGAAGAGGCAAGGACGGGGGTCCATTATGCCTCTGGCTCGTACTCCTGGTATTCCTCCTGCGGGGTGGGCAAAGAAAAAGCCTGTGAGAGAGTTTCCCTGGGGCACGGAGCCCCTGTGCCCCCCAGCCCCACGCCAGCTTGCCCTCGAGGCTGCAGGGCTGAGCGCAGCCACGCCACCCGCAGTGCCCCCTCACCTGTGGGGGCTCCTCGTAGTTCTCCCCCTCCGGCTCCAGCAGCGGCTCGACCAGCGGCTCCTCCACAGCCTCCTGGGCCACCTCCTCTGGCTGGGGGAAAAGCGGGGTGGTCAGTCCCACACAAACAGCCCCCTGCGTGTCACCCACGCACCCTCCCTGCTCCTGCCGGACCCGGGGGGACCTAGCAGAGACCAGCCACGCACCCGTGATGCTGGGAGCTCCGGCTGGGGGCACCAGGGGAGTGGGATCAAGACAGGCTGGTGTGGTATGGGGCAGGGTGTGGGGGGCTGGCAGGGCACCCTGCGCTCACAGCATTGCACCTAGCTGGGAGGTGACAGGCAAAGGGGCTGTGGGAGCAGGGCCTGGGTGCGTGTGGCCCTGCAGTGCTCCCAGCCTCATCCCCGGGTGGGTGATGTGTGCTGGCACCATGTGGCCCCCTCAGGCTCTGGTGGGGCTGTGGGAGCATCCTGCATCCCCAGCAGGGCAGTGTGGTGCCAGGAACCCCTCCCCGGCGCTGGCAAGAAGCAAGGAGGGCGGCCGATCCCCCCCCCCGCGCAGCGGCGGTGCCTGCTGTGGCCTCATTTCTTCAGCTGATGCTATTTCGGGCTAAGCTGGAAGCGAGCGGCTCATCGGGGCGGCGAGATGCGAAAAAAAAAAAGAAAACACCCCGCCGCCCCTCCCGGCCCCGTGCTCCCGCAGCTGTCAGCTCACCTCGCTGCGCGCCCCAGCGCTGCGCAACGCCGGCCCCGCGCCGCCATGCGGGACCCCACGCACACACACGTCCCCGGCGCACGCAGCCACCACGCTGGGGACGCTGGGGACGGTGGCATCTGTGTGTGTGTGTGTGTGTGTGTGTGTGTGTGTCCCCCTCCCTGCCAGCCCTGGGTGCGCTCAGCTGCGGACCTTCCGGCAAGGCGCTGGGGGTGCCACCGCATCCATCCTGCGGGGCTGGGGATGGCCCTGGGGGGCTCCCCGCTGTGCCGGGGGCCGTGGCGTCCCCGGTGTGGGCAGAGCGGTGCCGGAGGGCGCGGGGCTCACCTTGAGGTCCGCAGGGAACTCCTCCTTCTTCACCAGCCCGGTGGCCGCCGCGATGTTGCCGGCACCCGAGAAGGCGGCTTCGCCCAGCTGGGATGCCTGCTCCTTCGCCTTCTCAGCCACTGCAAGAGCCGGGGGGAGCGCGTCAGTGCCCCCCCTCCCGGCACAGGGGGGGCGCAGGGAGGCACTGGGCAGGATCAGGCCCTCCCCGCCTGCATGCCCGGGTGCAGGGGAGGGGAGGGGGCCGGGACGGCGCTCTGCAGCTGGGCACGGAGCGCGAGCAGCGCCGCAAATCCTTTGTTGCGGGCCCTGTTATATAAGAGGCTTTAGCCGGGTGACATCAGCCCCCTCAATTAGCCCCTGATCTCGTTAGCCGGGGCCGGCGCTCCTGGGGACAGAGGGGAGCCAGAGGGGCCGTACCTGAGGTGACGCCTTGCACCACGCCTTGGGTTTTGCTCCCTGGGGGTAGAAACAGAGAGAGATGGGGTTAGAGAGCCCCACGCACCGCACTGCGCATGGGGCCCCGGTGGCGCTCTGTGAGCCAGGGCCACATCCTGCCTGCACCCCAGTGGGACAGCCGGGGGCTGAACACCCCCCCAGCACCCTACGAGGCTGCTCCGGTCCCTGCAGGAGACCCGGGTCAGGGCAGCACAGGACCAGCACCACTGGGCAGCATCACGGCTGTGCCGCTGCACGAGGCATCCCACGGGAGCCGGGGTCGGTGCCCGGAGCTGAGGCCAGCACCGTGCGGGCACCTCCTGCAGGATGGGGCCTCGGGGTGCTCCAGAGCTCGGGACCCCCCCCGGGGCACTCATCCTGGGCAGGATGAGCCCCCGCTGCCCCGCCAGGACCCGGCACGGCTCAGCACCGCTCCGGCCCCTCGCCACGCAGCGCTGCTGGTGGGACAGAGTGGAACGGAGCAGCCAGCGCTGCCCCGGGGCCTGAGCAGCCCAGAGGGGGACAGCTCCCAGCAGGGGAGTCCCCAAACCCCCCCCCCGACACCAGCACCAGGGGCAGGGCGCGACCACCAGCACCCCTTTTGCCCCGGAGCATCCCCGGCACGGCCCCTGCGGGTCGCAGCGCTGGGGAGGGGGGGGCGCAGGGGGCGCAGCCGCGGGGGTCCCATCCCCTCCGGGGCTGGGGCAGGGGCTGCGGGGGACACCGGGGGGGACACACGGGGACAAGCGGGGACAGCAGGGGGATGGGCGGGAGGCTGCAAGGGCAAACGCAGGAGGATGCAAGGGCAGGCGCGCGGGGAGAGGGGGGGGGCGAGGAAGGGGGGCAGGCCCTTACCAACATAGAGGACCCCCTCCTTGGTCTTCTCGGCCGCCTCGGCCACCCCCTGCTTGGTCTTCTCGGCGGCGGCGACCACCCCCTCCTTGGCCTTGGACAAGCCCTTCATGAACACCTCCATGGCGGCTCTGCGGGGAGAGCCCGCACGGCTTCACCCCGGCCCCGCGCCCTCCCCGCCGCATCCCCGCGCCCTCCGGGCCCGGCCGGGCTCCGCCCCGGCCCCGCCGTCCCCCCCCTCCCCACCCCCGGGGGGCTCCGCCGCTTAACCCCCCCCCCCCCCCACCCCGGGGCTCCGCCGCGCTGCCCGACCTGGATCGGTGGCGGCGGGGACGGGAGGGGCGCGCAGCGAGCCGGGCCGAGCCGGGCCGGGCTGCGGCGGGGCGGGCTCAGTGCGGCTGTGCCGGGGCCGCGCCGCGATGAGATGCGAGGGGGGGAACGCGCCGAGCCGTGCCGAGCCGGGCCGGGATCGGACAGAGCCGTGCCGAGCCGGGAAGAGCCGTGCTGAACCGTGCCGAGCTGTGCACAGCCGTGCTGAGTCCGAGTAAAGCCGTGCCGTGCCGAACCGTGCCGAGCCGAGCCGTGCCGAGCCGAGCCGAGCCGAGCCGTGCCGAGCCGTGCCGAGCCGTGCCGAACCGTGCCGAGCCGAGCCGTGCCGAGCCGTGCCGAGCCGTGCCGAGCCGAACCGTGCCAAACCGTGTAAAGCCGTGCCGAGCCGTGCCGAACCGTGCCGTGCCGAGCCGTACCGAGCCGTGCCGAACCGTGCCGAGCCGTGCCAAGCCGTGCCGACCCGTGCCGTGCCGACCCGTGCCGACCCGTGCCGACACGTGCCGAACCGTGCCGAGCCGAGCCGTGCCGAGCCGAGCCGAGCCGAGCCGAGCCGAGCCGAGCCGTGCCGTGCCGTTACGTGCCGAGCCGTGCCGAACCGTGCCGAGCCGAGCCGAGCCGAGCCGAGCCGAGCCGTGCCGAGCCGTGCCGAGCCGTGCCGAACCGTGCCGAGCCGAGCCGTGTCGAGCCGTGCCGAGCCGTGCCGAGCCGTACCGAGCCGTGCCGAACCGTGCCGTGCCGAGCCGTGCCGAGCCGTGCCGAGCCGTGCCGTGCCGAGCCGTGCCGAGCCGTACCGAGCCATGCCGAACCGTGCCGTGCCGAGCCGTGCCGAGCCGTGCCTAGCAGAGCCAAGCTGTGCCCAGCCCGGGCAGAGCTGTGCCAAGCCGTGCCAATGCATGCGGAGCCGTGCCAAGCCCGGGCGGAGCCGTGCAAAACTGTGCCGAGCCCGGGAAGAGCTCTGCCAAGCCGTGCCAAGCCATGCCGAGCCGTGCCCAGGCCGGGCAGAGCCGTGCCAAACCGTGCCGAGCCAGGGCAGAGCCGTGCCAAACCGTGCCGAGCTGTGCCAAGCGGTGCCAAGCCGTGCCCAGCCAGGGCATAGCCATGCAAAACCGTGTCGAGCTGTGCCAAGCCGTACCAAGCCGTGCCGAGCTGTGCCAAGCCGTGCCAAACCGTTATGAGCTGTGGCAAGCCGTGCCAAGCCGTGCCAAGCCGTGCCCATCCCGGGCACAGCCGTGCCAAACCGTGCCGAGCTGTGCCAAGCCCTGCCAAGCCGTGCCCAGCCCGGGCAGAGCCGTGACAAGCCGTACCCAGCCCGGGCACAGCTGTGCCAAGCCGTACCAAGCCGTGCCCAGCTCGGGCACAGCCGTGCCGAGCGGTGCCGAGCGGTGCCAAGCCGTGCCAAGCCGTGCCCAGCCCGGGCAGAGCCGTGCCGAGCCGTGCCGAACCGTGCCGAGCCGTGCCGAGCCGTGTCGAACCGTGCCGAGCCGTGCCGTGCCGTGCCGAGCCGTGCCGAACCGTGCCGAGCCGTGCCGAGCCGTGCCGAACCTTGCCGAGCCGTACCGAGCCGTGCCGTGCCGAGCCGTGCCAAGCCATGTCGAGCCGTGCCAGCCCGGGTAGAGCCGTGCCAAACCGTGCCGAGCTGTGCCAAGCCGTGCCAAGCCATGCCAAGCCGTGCCCAGACAGGGCAGAGCCGTGCCAAGACGTTCCCATCCCGGTCAGAGCTGTTCCAAGCCGTGCCAAGCCATGCCAAGCCGTGCCCAGACCGGGCAGAGCCGTGCCAAGACGTGCCCATCCCCGTCAGAGCTGTGCCAAGCCATGCCGAGCCATGCCGAGCCATGCCAGCCAGGAGCAAAGCCGTGCCAAACCGTGCCGAGCTGTGCCAAGACGTGCCAAGCCGTTCCCAGCCCGGGTACAGCCGTGCCAAACCGTGACAAGCCGTGCCGAGCAATGCCGAGCCGTGCCAGCCCGGGCAGAGCCGTGCCAAACTGTGCCGAGATGTGCCAAGCCGTGACAAGCCGTGCCAGCCCGGGCAGAGCCGTGCCAAACCGTGCCCAGCCCTGGCAGAGCCGTGCCAAACAGTGCCAAGCTGTGCCGAGCCGTGCCCACCCCGGGCAGCGCCGTGCCAAACAGTGCCGAGCTGTGCCAAACCGTGCCAAGACGTGCCGAGCAATGCCGAGCCGTGCCACGCCCGGGCAGAGCCGTGCCAAACCGTTCCGAGCTGTGCCAAGCCGTGCCAAGCCATGCCGAGCCGTGCCCAGCCCGGGCAGAGCTGTTCCTAGGCGTGCTAAACAATGCCGAGCCGTGCCCAGCCCGGGCAGAGCCGTGCCAAACCGTGCCGATCTGTGCCAAGCCGTGCTGAGCCGTGCCCCGCCCGGTCAGAGCCGTGCCAAACCGTGCCGAGCTCTGCCAAGCCGTGCTAAGCCGTGCCCAGCCCGGGTACAGCCGTACCAAACAGTGCCGTGCTGTGCCAAGCCGTGCCAAGCAGTGCCAATCCATGCCGAGCCGTGCGCAGCCCGGGCAGAGCCGTGCCAAACTGTGCCGATCTGTGCCAAGCCGTGCTGAGCCGTGCCCAGCCCGGGCAGAGCCGTGCCAAACCGTGCCCAGCTCGGGCAGAGCCGTGCCAAACTGTGCCGAGCTGTGCCAAACCGTGCCAAGCCGTGCCGAGCAATGCCGAGCCGTGCCCAGCCCGGGCAGAGCCGTGCCAAACCGTTCCGATCTGTGCCAAGCTGTGCTGAGCCGTGCCCAGCCCGGGCAGAGCCGTGACAAACCGTGCCGATCTGTTCCAAGCCGTGCTGAGCCGTGCCAAGCCCGGGCAGAGCCGTGCCAAGCCGTGCCCCGCCGGGCAGAGCCGTGCCAAACAATGCCGAGCTGTGCCAAACCGTGCCAAGCCGTGCCCAGATCGGGCAGAGCCGTGCGAAACATTGCCGAACTGTGCCAAGCCGTGCCAAACCGTGCCCCGCCCGGGCAGAGCCGTGCCAAACAGTGACGAGCTGTGCCAAGCCGTGACAAGCGGTGCCCAGCCATGCCGAGCCGTGCCCAGCCCGGGCAGAGCCGTGCCACACCGTGCCAAGCTGTGCCGAGCCATGCCGAGCCGTGCCAGCCCGGGCAGAGCCGTGCCAAACCGTGCCGAGCTGTGCAAAGCCGTGACCAGTCCGGTCAGAGCTGTGATCAGCCCCGGAAGAGCCGTGCCCAGCCCGGGCAGAGCCGTGCCAAGACGTTCCCATCCCGGTCAGAGCTGTGCCAAGCCGTGCCAAGCCATGCCAAGCCGTGCCCATCCCGGTCAGAGCTGTGCCAAGCCGTGCCAAGCCGTGCCATGCCGTGCCGAGATCGGGCAGAGCCGTGCCACGGTACAAAATTGGGGGGGGGCACCAAAGGGGGGGGGTCCATGGGGCTTGGGTTAGGGTTAGGGTTAGGGTTAGGGTTAGGGTTAGGGTTAGGGTTAGGTTCAGAGTCAGAGTCAGAGTCAGAGTCAGGGTAAGCGTAGTGAGATCCTCTCCTGAGCCTATGTTATTTTCCAAAGATTGATTGACGCTTTTAAGGTTTCAGGGGTAGGGCACTAGGGTTGGGTTTCAGGGTAAGTATTCTCAGGGTTTATGTTTAGGATTTTAAGTTGTTTAGGTTTGGATTTTTAACGGTTAGTATTTTAGGGATTTGGGGGTTAAGGTTTTAAGTTTTTCAGGGTTAGTGTGTTAGGGTTTTAGAGTTTATGGGTTGTAGTGTTGAAAGGTTTTTTAGGGTTAGGGTCTTAGGGTTTTCTTTTTGCTCAGTTATTTAGGCTTAGGGTTTTTAAATTTTTATTTATTTATTTATTTATTTATTTATTTATTTTTTCAGGTTAGGTTCTCCAGGGTTAGGGTTTTGAGTGTCCTAATTTTTTGGGTTAGGGTTTGGAGCATCTTAATATTTTGTGTTAGTGCTTTGAGCGTCTTATTTTTTTGGATTAGTCT